AAAACAATTTGTTAAGAACATTGTTTTACATTAGAGAGGACTAATTTGTTAACAAAAGTACAAAGTTGTTTTTCTATGTTTCTCGAGCATCACACTATTTATCGTAAGTTAGACGCTAGGATAATAGAAATATTTATCTTGTCCACAAGCGAGGCAGAACAATTTGGTTATATACATTGTTTTGCATTAGAGAGGACATATTTGTTAAAAAAAAATTAAATGGATGAAAATCTGAATATGAAATGGCGATATTAGACAATGAGTTTTATACCACCACTTTTTAATTACTGCACCTTATTTGACAATTATTTAACATTTCGTAGTAATATACTTTGACAATTACCTTAGCAGCGTTAATTAATTCATCAGCCAAGCACTCAGCAATGGTCTTGATGTTTCTGAATGCAGCTTCACGAGCACCGGTACACAGCAACCAAATAGCCTAAAACAAATAATGAAAGCATATAGTAATATTTATATTGAATCTTTGTATAAAAATTAACTCCTTTAGAGTGTGTTCTAAAACAGTCTAGAATCAAGTGTATGTAAATATATTTGCTTCTTCAAAACTGCTTCACATTTTTTCTTGTCCAGAAGCATAACTCAAGCTTTATACAATGAAAGAATGAGTAATAAGCTGGACAAAAACTATATTGATTGCAATGTTCATTTAATTCATGCGACAAAAGCAGATAATACTTTTTGACGCTATGGGTATTCAAATGTTACTTTGATTTAGCCTAGTGTTATAGCCTTGTAAAGGAGATGCAAAACTTTTACATGGTATTGTAGTAGGCATATAAAATAAAGTGATGAATGGCTTACTTGATTGACGCGACGCAGAGGCGACACATCGACGGCTTGACGACGTACGGTACCAGCACGACCGATACGGGTCGAATCTTCACGGGGACCTGAGTTGATAATGGCGCTTACGAGAATCTGAAAAATTATATAATCAACATTATCAAATATATGTAGATTCACAATAAAAACAATGTTAAATACTCCAGCAAATAAATATTTTTTTTAACTAAAATATTAAATATATGGAGTATATGATTTAATATGCGTCCTCATTCTACCTGATAATAGAAGTTCTAGTTTCTCTATAACAGTTTAGCATGGGACATGATTTTTCTATGTATTTTCTTAAATTTAGCATAAACAATTACCTGAAGTGGATTTTCGCCTGTCAACAGGTGGATGATCTCGAAGGAGTGTTTGACAATACGGCAAGCCATCAATTTCTTACCGTTATTGCGACCCTTCATCATAAGAGAGTTCGTCAAACGTTCGACAATAGGGCATTGAGCCTTGCGGAAACGCTTAGCTGCATAACGACCAGCAGAGTGTGGCAAGTAGCGAGCGAATTTCTCTTTGACGGAAATGTAATCTTGTAGAGAGATATCATTGACGGTAACATCGTCGCATGACCACCGTCCGAAAAGTTTGATTTCGGGCAATTCAGTTGTGGCCACAACATTTGTTTCCAAGAGAGTCTCAGCACCCTCAGTTTCAATTGGCGGTTGCTCGTCGAAGTTCTCAACAACACTTTCTTCAACTTCAGCCATTCTGAAAATATTGAAAGTTATGTAGAGACAGCGTTCAGATCGTTTTTTGGATTGAATTTTGCAAAGAAATCATATCTTTGATTTTTGTTGGTTTTTAACTTTATTAAGGAATATATCTTTAAGGCGATATCCTTAAGAGGAATAGTTAATCATAAATTTTTTATGGTCCAATTGAATACCGCATATACCAAAGATTTAAGTGCATACGGTTTTAGTTATGGACGGTCAAATGTCTATATGAATGTAATTATATTTTTGTTGGTATTACTTTAAGAATTTTATCTTTTAGTCGATATCCTTAAGAGGAATAGTTAACCAATATTTATATTGTCCAATTGAATACCATATATGCCTATAGAATAGCGTGCATGATTTTAGTTGTGGACTTATTCATCATTTTCAAATATTTTTATTTCATTCGTAGTGTTCACTTGTGCATCTGAATGTATTTTGTAAAACAACGAAATAAATCACAAGCACACGTGTGAAATTGTGTTAAAAGTAACACTTAATCAGTGGCTTCACCAGGAGTTTTAACCTCAATTTTAAACATGTCACAATTCATCGCATAAGCATTTAAATTTCACTGTTTCAATAGCTCGATAGTTTTGATTAAATATTGAGTTCTTTAATTGATATTTAAACTATTTCTAATTACAAATTTCTTACTTTTAAGCTCAGAAAATTTGCCTTCGTTCCAGACAGTAATGGCGTTCGCCAGAAAAAGAACATGTTCGYGTAGTGCTGCCAAATTTGTTCATTTTCACACATCCGCCAAATTACCAACTCGGAATTTTTGACAGTTATTTTATCTCTCGTTGGCAATACCCTGATGCAACAAAAATTGTACTCATTCTTAAAAACAGAATGCCATTTTATTTATTAAATCTAGATTTATTTGAATTTATTAAATAAATAAAATAAAARTTTCCATATCAGTTTTAGTACAATTATCGAAAATATTGATAATTCAAATTGAWAATGGTCTATTACTTTGTATAGCGCCCTCTTCTCGTTAAAACTGGCATTATTATAAATGTGTAACTTGTAAGCACGGAAATAGTTGCAATATTTATGTCAATACCAGTCTTCATGCCGGTTGATTAAATACAAAATATGCTAGGGAAGTAGGTGATAATTTTCTATCAAAGCTAAACTCTAGTTATTATTTGTTGTATCTGTTACTAAAGTAAAAAAAAAATATAAATGCAACAGTTGGAGGGAAAGTTAACTCGTTATGAGAAAATTGCATTTCTTGGCGAAGGTCAGGTAAATATTAAATATATACCATACTATACTCATGGTTGTTTAGTAACGTTTACTGCAATTCATTGCCTCCTTTCAGTTTGCTACAGTATATAAGGCGCGAGATGTGCTCACCGATCAGATWGTCGCGGTGAAAAAGATTAAAATAGGAAGCAGGGAAGAGGCTCAGGATGGTATAAATCGCACTGCTTTACGTGAAATAAAGTTGCTACATGAGCTGCAACATGAGAATATTATTGGTTTAGTAGACGTTTTTGGTCATAAATCAAATGTGTCTTTAGTTTTCGATTTTATGGATACCGATTTGGAAATTATCATTAAAGACCCTAAAATTATACTCACACAGGCGAATATAAAAGCTTACATGATTATGACTTTGCGTGGCCTAGAGTATCTGCATATGAACTGGATTCTGCATCGAGATTTGAAGCCAAACAATTTATTGGTTAATACGGACGGTGTACTCAAAATTGGTGATTTCGGTCTGGCAAAATTTTTTGGTTCACCTAATCGCATATACACCCATCAAGTAGTGACAAGATGGTACAGGGCACCCGAACTATTATTTGGCGCACGTCAATATAGCACGGGAATAGATATTTGGGCTGTAGGCTGCATACTTGCAGAATTGCTATTACGTGTCCCTTTTTTGCCAGGCGACTCAGACCTTGACCAGCTTACTAAAATTTTCCAAGCCCTTGGCACTCCTACTGAGGAGACTTGGCCGAATTTGAATAAATTACCTGATTATATGCAATTCAAACAGTTTCCGGCAATTCCTTTACAACATATTTTCACAGCTGCCCCTGATGATCTTATCGTATTGGCGGAAAAGTTATTGGCACTTAATCCAGCACAACGTTGCACGTGCACGGAGGCATTATGTATGAAATACTTTTCCAACAAACCGGCACCATCTATGGGACACAAACTTCCAATGCCTTCGAGCAACAAGCAGGTTGTCGAGGAAAGGCCAAACCTCAAACGAAAACTCATTGATGCCTTAGAAGGTGGCACCGTGCCAAAGAAACTTTTTTGATTAAGTTTACAATAGGTTGATAATGAAAATATTTTTTAATTACAATTCGAATATCTGAATTGTTAGTTTTAGCTGTTGTTAATTTCTATTATTTCTCATATTAATACATATATAAAGTTAAAGAGAAACACAATTTAGTATATGTAAAAATACAATTTTCTTTATTAAAAACAATGTTCAGCATCAATGTTCAAAACTTTAGCGCCTTATAAATACGTTTTGAATAGGTACAATAACGATAACGGAGCGCATGCGTCTCTACAATACTCATCGCTATGAGCACGCTGTGTACTACATCTACGGATAAATTGCCAATTAAAAAGCATCTAACGCTGAATGTGTAGCTATATATATGTAGTATATATGAGTAAACCTACTATAAGCACTACCTTACATACGGACATAAGTACACTTGCTAGTTTTTGTATACGAATCGGCCGTCAATGTATATTGACGTGCTAAGTAAAGCGAGTGGGCAAGATTTAAGACTACTCGTCAGAAGTTTTGGTTTTATATAAAAGTTTGTAATTAATCACAATTCTTTGTATGTTTAGGTAACAACACACCACGGATAATTTCAATTCTCAATGATACATGCATTCACTTTATTTGTTTAGTAATACTTATTTCAATGACTTTCGGCTTTTTCATGAGCAGTTAACTTAGAAGTACAATTTTAAAAGTAAGTTTTGTTTAACTAAAAGTTCTATAAATATTGCAGTGTTGTTGTAAAGAAAAAATTGTGACTTAAATAATGTATTTTTAGATTTATTCTATTCCGAAATCAGCTTTACATATACATATTTCTTCTTCTTCTTCTTAATTGGCGTAGTCACCGCTTACGCTTATATTTAGATACTGTAAAATCGTTCAGCGGTACTACCCCTTTATATAAATATGTATGCATATATTTTATTCTGCATTATAGGTAGGAAAAATACATTTCTCTAGATCTTATATACTATACTGAAACAATATTAACTTTGTAAGTAAGAAAATATGCAAAAATTAATTTCGATGTCTATGAAATGCTATTTTGCTTATTGTAGTTTGATTTGATAAGAACGCTAAGTAACGAATACCAATAAAAATAAGATTATTTGTAATTGAAAAATATACCTTAACACTGTTAAACCTAATTCACTCTTATTTCGGTTTCGTCATCGTTCCCTTACCAATATTCCTTCTCTTCGTCTCAATCTTAAGGTTGAACAACATAATACAGAGTATTTCAGCAAATCCCAATCAATTTGACATTATATTTTTCCTTATTTAAATTTTGAAATAAATTGGGAGGCACGGGAATATTAACGACAAATTGAGAATAATAATGTTTTCTGGAACATGTCTTAACAGATTTACTAAAACTATAATATTTCGAAAAAGCTTTCTTTTAATTCGACGTTTTTTGGAGGTTTATTGTTTATTGGTGGTCAGCAGATGACATATACAGAGGATGTATCGAGAACGACGACAGCAGGCATTATATTGATTGGGTCAATTGAACAAATCATATCTTGCTCATACAAAGGCTAATATGTTCAGAATATGTATATAAAACCTCTTCATTTTTGATATTTTCGTGTAAGTGTATATAGAGAATATAGTATACTATATTACAAAGTTCTTTTAAAGAATGAAATCAATAAAAAAAGTATAAACATGTTTTTCTTATTTATTGACGTCTCTTTTTAAATAAGCATTATAGAAAATGTGTTTTATAAAGTAATTAAGTATGCAAATAGTGTATATACTACAGCACAATTTTAGATCTATGCTCATATCATATAGTTGAAAATCTATCATCAAGAAATTGTTAAAAAATTGTAAATTTATACATTTTTATTTTTATGAGTTTGCGTATGCTTGTGAGTTATGTAAGTATGCAGTATCTTTGAGTTTGTATAAGTATCGCTGCCACTCTTCTCTAGCCTCTGGCTTTTGAGATTCTTGTTCACATATTTTATGCATTAATATAATTGTAAAAATTCCAACATTTTTATATTTTGAGGGATAAAAAGAAATTCATACATTCACCTTGGGACAGCCATTTTGAAGAACTGCTTTATAAGGTACGCACATGCATATGAATATAGGTGAATTAATGAAGATATGATTTCTCCATAAAAGGATTAAATTACTTATTTAGATCTCATTAAAGCTGTTTACTAAGGATTAAAGCTTGTATTTAATAAATTTTGTATTTCTTATCTTCCGCCTTACATCTTTCATAATACAGTTATTTTTTTCTTACTATTTGTTTAGGTTATCAAAATATTTACAAATAGTAGATAATTAAACACAATCACCTGATYGTATATTGTTAACATAATTCTAAGTTTATAAACGTTCTAGGGATTTCTAGTTGATTGTAGAGTCCTTAAGTAATTATGAACTAATTGCTACAGCATTTTAATAAAACTTTCCACTTGTGCCTTGATTGTAATAATTCAAGTTCCTCTTTTCCCTTGCAGTGTGCAATTTTATTTTGCTTTTTGGTTTATTCTTTTGGTGTCATATGTATTGAACTATCGATGTTCGCCAATCGTTCAATATTCGCTCTCTTTACGCTACACATACATACATACGATAATTAACTTAAAGATTAATTGTATCTAAGTCTTGGCAAGGTGCACGAGGGCTTACGTTTTCGTCGCTATGAGCGCCATTGCTGCTCCCACCCCCAGCCGCGCTCTCGGCGTCGGTGTCRTTGAGATATCCTGTCGACGAATTTTTGTTACTTCGGGTGCTATTATTATTGTTTTGATTATTTCGCCCATCATTACCATCCATCGTTTGCGGTTGCAACTTTTTACTGCCCAAGCCCAATGGAAAGGCGAAATCCTGTGGTAATTTTCGCATAATCTTGCCCGAGGTAATAAGTCGACCAAAGCCTTCCTGGAAATCGTCAAACGGATCAAATGTATATTTTAATACAATTTTTGTTGGCAGTCTATAATAAAAAATGCTAACGAAAAACTATCTCCAATTGTGCAATAAATTTGCAATATTTTGCCATGAAGGCAAAAATTACGCTACAAAAACAAAAAKTGGTACAAGCGGTTCCAGTAGGGAGAGGAATTCATGATTAAAAAATGCTTGAAAAGTGAGCGTGCCCACGCACTCCAATAGGATTAATGTATCTCATAAACTATTTGAGATTCATGTGTCGGTAAAATCTTTTACAACTTATCGTCAAACTCACCTGATGCGCAAACGCGTAACCAGAGCGCAATGATCGTCGTGCCTTTCGCGCCGAAGGTGTTCGCATTACCATGTTGCTCTGCCGTGACTGGCGTGTGCTCACGCGACATTTCAGACGTATCTGATAGACAACGAATAATTGTTAAATACATGTGTCTCAGTTAAGCAAATATTTGATRCAATTTCTTACCTTATCAGCTAGACTTGGGTGCACATCGATTAGATAGAATTTATAGGCCAACACAGGAGCCATTATCACAATAACGGTTATTACCATTGTCGCCCAGAAGGTCAAATCCTTCATGGCCATCGCCAGTGAGCCCACATAGGGGCCACCGAAGACATAATTATAAAAGTAGTCCAAGACGAAAAAGCATACCAAACTACCCCAGATAGTGATGTGATTAAATATCGTCCAATAAGAAGTATACAAGCCTATCTGAGGAATTTAACGCATATACATATATGCGTACATTAATTCTCATTCGTATCAAAGAATAATTGTTTGAATATATAGAGACGTGTATATAAGAGTATGTATGTACCTGTGCTGTGTTATCAATTATGAGAATGGTGGCAACAACCGCGCCCAAGGTCATATGGTCGCTCAGTATGAGTCCATTTGGCGAGATTCCATCCTTATAAGTGCCTGAAAATCCAGCATATATATTTATTTAATACGATTCGAAAATGGTATATATCAAAATGTTTATTACCGTATGGTATTAAGAATAATATTAGCGAACTGAAGGCACCATGAAGAACACTGTAAACGAATTCGCGCGTGTTAAACAGTTGACTTTTCAGTCCGGGTGTATATAACTTTGGATATTCTATGCTGTGTTTGTCGGAGACATCTTGCTCGAATACCCCCAAAGCTAGCACCGGCAGTGAGGTATAGAACAAATTGTATACTGATATGAACATTGGGTCGAACACCGTCTGCATATTCAAAATACACGCATCTTTAGTAATATTTTTTTTCATTTATGTGGGTAAATACCTGGGCGCTAAAGCCACAAAAGAACGAATACCAGCAGTGGCACAAAGTAAATGCAAAATTCTTATAGAAAAAATACCGCAAGAATTTACACATGCGATAGTATGACCAACGGCCATGGACGAGCAGGAGACGCTCCAAGTAGCGGAACTGCGCAATCGAATAGTCGCTGGCCAGTACCGCTTGCAAGCCCTCTTGGCCGGAGATGCCAACTCCTATGTGCGCAGCTGTAATTATATACATTAACATATGGTATTTTGGATACTTGGTAGACGATAATAGTGGAGCTGTGGCTTTACCTTTTATCATTGAAACGTCATTGGCACCATCGCCGATTGCTAGTGTTACGGCATTCTTCGCGCGCTTAATCAACTCCACCACCAAGGCTTTTTGCAGAGGCGTAACGCGGCAGCAAATAACGGCTTTGCACTGTGAAGCCACATCCAGGAATCTAAATTCAGTGCCATAGAGACAAATTCAATTTTAGTATTAAGTGAAATAAATTGGYCGGTGGAAAGGTATGTTATAATAGAATAAGAAATATGATATTTATGAAAARGACTAGAAAGTTTGAGAAGTGTTATGGGAGGAAAACGAATGAAAGAACTTACTTTGATTCCAATTCCGGAGAGAGGCAGTAGACAAGTGAATGTCCATTCACAACAATTGCGAAACCTGTATTCTCCTCAATGATTTCATCCGGATGAAACGCACTCGCACCGTCTGCACCCTTCTCAATATTGTCGTACAGTTCATTGCATTCCGCGCTGCAGTGGATTAATAATATTTCCCGTTAACATTTGCGAAATATTGAATATCCTCGGAGGTACACATAGAGAAAATTAAAATAAACGCATAAATGATGCTTTGTACAAGGACATGAGAGCAGGCGGGAGCGATGTATGAGCGCACATATTTACATAAATCATGCGGGTGAGCGACAAAATGGTAAATGACACTTTTTACAATTCAGMTCAGTTTTGTTAAACTCACTAAGTATCTGTGAGTGTTTCCAACACGCATTTACCCCCTCGATATTTGTTGGGAGTAATTGGATGTTGCAGACAGCCACTAATATTGTCAATTAACGCATTGACCACACACACATAGGTTTATGGAGAAGTCGCGAATTGACTCAATGAAGAGACAATAAATGGGACGAAACAATTAGTTAACAAAAGCAACGCAACAAACTTTCTAGTTTCTAAAGGCTTTCAATAAATATATCGCTAATTTGCGTTTGATAGCTCTTAGAAGTAAGACTTATGTACATGCGTTAAAATCATACATACATACACAATCAATGTAAAAATTAAAAAAAAAATATTTCAGCTTTCAACAGTAACAAAAGCAACAGCAACAATATGACGGCTTGAATGATGATAAATACACAAAAAGAAGCTGACAAAAAAACTATACTATGTATGTATGTATGTGTATATAAGACTATACAGGAATGCAAGTTTTGTAATGTAATTAACAACGAATATTCAAACAAACAACAATGCGTGATTAAATATAATTATTAAATGTGTTAAAAAATTTTTATGAAGGAACAAATATTTACTTTCYGGGCGAAACAAGTACCAATAGAGGGTATCATCCTTGTACAATAAAATCGAATCATCGATTGCAATATCTTTAAGTTACAGATTTCTTTGGAATCAATGTATAAGTATGTAAAGAGTTTGTGTTCTTAGCATTAATTAATTTGGTGAAAACTAAAAATTAAAAATTTACATATATACGCTACAAAATGCATATTCTCAACTTAAAATTATYTTTTCATTTACCTAAAACTGACAATTGTTCATTTGGCGACAAATATTTTAAGAATTTGATAAAGGAAACAAGAGTAGCTGTAGACCAGTGCGCTGCGTGTGAGACTCTGTATTGATGGGTTGAGGGATTCAACACCAACTATACCGAATTCAGTTTAGTAAATGGTCGGGAAAGTGGGATTTCTTACTTGGAAGAGCCCGAAAATAATTATAACAGAGGTAAATTAAAATTTGTAGAAATCTCCATGGAGCGGTCCAAGACGCCTCTTCACAGAGAGGCAGACTATCATGGAAGCAATTAAATATAGATAAAGTAAAAGTTTGTATGTCCTTATATACCATATACCATATAACACCGGATGTAGAAACTTTCGATAAGTATTGACCTATTTCTGAATGGTAAAATTACCAAAGCGTAACTGTTAACTTATCGAAATGCGCATTACAAACAACTGTTAAAAGTTTTGAAACAAGTGTGGGGCTACCTTTTTGGAGCTATTTAGCTAAAATTTTCCATTTTTATTTACTGAGGTTAATGTAACTATTAATTCAAGTGAATAACCAAAAATAAAACATTGCCTCGTGACCATATACTACATGTACGATATATATGTATCTACGAAATAACACCAATTATTTACGAAATGCATAATTCTGTGAAATTGAAGCTCGAAATTTAAAAAATTGTAGTTTTTCATGTTAATCTCAAGCATTTCAGTAGGATATTTAAATTCAAATGATAACTAGAAGAACAGTTAAAATCATCGACTATCGGTTTCGTTGAGAAAAAACAAAATAAATTAAAGGAAAAACGAGAGGAGTAGCAGAGAAAGAGATAGYGTTTTGTAGGTAGGTGTAAATGTGTGGCGTTTGTTTTGGAGTTCCCTCTACCTGTCCGGTTCGCCCTTATTATGCTTAATTTTGTCATCATCCCACCTAAAGGTAACCACCGATATCGCTGGCGCTGGTGGCGGCGAGGTCCGCGTACGTAACCCAGTACCATACATCACAGATGAGTTCCGATCGGYACTATTCGCACCATTTAAATTCAGATTCAAGTTCACTGTCGGCTCCAGCGCTGCAAGCAGATAAGCGAAGTTCATAGAACGAAAGATTAATTCGAATTAGTATAACTTTATTGAACGTGCTTCTCATCAGTCCTTACGCGTTGGTCTAAATCGATTGAGAATTCTGACCGATTCACGGAATTGGCGCAATTGTTTGTTGACTTCTTCCAGTGAACTGCCGTCCACGATGAAGACATCAGCCAATTCATCGGTTAATAACTGACAGGAGTAGCCAATATTTATAGCCGTTTCTAAATAAAGGTTTCGAAATAAATTTGCTGTGCTATAGTTTCCACTTGTGTCCATTTACGCACCTTGTTTGTCACCCGTCAGTACCCAAATTTTAATCCCTGCCATTTGTAGGTTGGCTATCGTTTGAGGTACACCATCCTGCAATTTGTCTTCGATCGCCGTCACACCGACAAGTATCAAGTCGCTTTCGATCTCCTCGTACATGGCGTTGAGCTTCTCTTCGCGCGCATCTAGGGAAACTGCCGCTATTTGTTGACGCTGCGACCAATCCATGTAGTAGGCTTCGTCAAGACGTCTTTCGGCGAGTACCAGCGTTCGCAAACCTTCGCCAGCGAATTTCTGTAAAAGGTTTTCATAACATTATTCGAATYAAATACAAAAACGATATTGTGTTGCTTCACGAATAAGTACAGCAACTTTGAAAACGAGTTCAAGGCTACACATTAGTTCATCTCAAATTGATAGGTAGGAAAAGTAACGTCAAGCAATTTAAAAAATTAAATGCATTTGCTGAAACTGAATTTTAGTCGGAAACTTACATTCAAATGATCTTGGGTACGCGCCTTAATATCATTTTGACTAGTACTTAATCTATCATAAATCACATTGTCAGCACCTTTGCAGTACAGTATAATGTCATCACCTCGTCTCAATATCACCGACATACGCTTGCGGACGTTATTAAAGTCTATAATATTCAGAAGCTCATACTCCTGCAAAAAATAACAAATTAATTCATTGTATACGCGTGCGCAAAATAAGCTGCTAACCTCTCGGTTTYCTTTCACTTCTATGGTTATACTATTCGGCGTTCGTGAACGGAACACGAAACCGAAGTTTCGCGCTGCCGACACTAAAGCTGCCTCGTCGGGACTTTGCGCCTGGTATTCTAGTCGCCCCTCCACGTACTCGGGCATCACGGTGTGACAAAGCGCGAGCAGGCGGAAAAAATTTTGCGAATGCTCCTCGTCAGAACGGACTGCATCCAGCAGTGTCCTGTCGTACCAACGAAAGTCTGGCTCGAATTCCGGATTCGCCGAAAAGTCAACCGGTTCAAGAGCCTTGAAAAATACGTCACAAATATAAGTTAAGCTGTTCGGTTATTTCATGAGTGTGAATGTTACAATAGTAGCATGTCGGGATGTATGCATTTACAATTAGGAATATATGTATCTAYGATATATGTATGTTTTGGCATGTAAATGTATTAAGCGTGACCATGTTTTTATTGTGTACATATATTGGATTAATTTGTTGCAGATGGAATTATGAGTTATACAAGCTTTTTCGCTCTAGTGAACCATAAATACTCGTACCATAAAGARCTTCGAAAACGGTAATTATWTATGATATATGYATGTATATGTATATATATTCAGATATAATACATATATCTCAGTGGATCGAAAGCATGGGGCATGCTGTTTGATTTTAGATTTGAAATTAGTTGAAGCGTTTTGAACGGATTTTGGCGCAAGGGCCAGCTTTGGCAGTTGGTTAAATACATATCCTTAGACAATTTAATTAGTTAGTAGATTAAATAACTTAGCCATATACTTATGCAACTACCTATTTCAAAAGAATCGTGCAAAATTATAAAGAAACAAAAATTCARCGACATAAAAGCAGTTAGGCTGAGGAAAGGTTTTCGAAAACTGAAAAGTATTTGAGAACTCAAAGCAAACACGGGTTTCAAAGGTGCATGAAGAGTTCAAGCCACTGGGACTAGGACTTCGACTGTTCGAGCGAACATTCATTAAATCGAGCGCACATAATACATTTAGTCAAGTACAAAACGCATGCATACGTGCACTTGTTGGTGGCGGGACGAGCTCCATTCGGTGGCGTAAAGACTAAATACATTATCGGTGCATGTTGTGGTGGTGTTGTTACTGTTTTTGCAATTGCTCTTGCTGTTGGTGTCGGTGTCGTTGTCGGTGTTGATGCGGACGCTTTTATTGTGGTTTTGGTGAGTGCATTTTGTACAATTGTCACATTTTTGCACATTTAGCTTAGTTTTAGACTTCGATTTTAGGTTCGGCTTCAACTTAGATGTCATGCTGCCTTGTGAGCGTGATTGTTTCAGAGCTTGGCGGCAGTTGCAGGTGGTACATTGCGCACTCGTTTTKCCAATGTTTTTCGTATTTGTTTTAAGGCTTGTTTTTCGTGTGCTTGATGAGGTACTGGTGGGCGATGGTRGTTCGGTTAAAAATGCCGCTATTTGCGATAGCGAATCTGAATGCATTGTTTTTGTTATTTGTGTTAGTGATGATGTTGACGATGACAATTTCAATGATGAGGATGATCTTGTTGATAATGTTGGTGTGGATGTTGTTGGTGTATTCACTATCGTCAATGGCAGTAGTGTTGTGTTGATCGACGGTGATTTCTTGGTGCTGGTGCAAGCATTGGTTATGGGTGTACAGCATGTGGTATTACTGTCGTTGTAAGACACAATCAGTGCCATATGCGGCGGTGCAGAGTCACCGAATATCATTACTTTATCGCCTGAATTGGACAGCACGGAGAACTGGCTTCGTATTTCGCATCTTGGTGACTGGTGCGTATTCGCTTCCGTAGCTGTCGTGCCAATGGAACTCTCGTCGTATTGGACATGACGTTGGTTGTTCGTTGGAGATGGTGTGACGTCATCATCTAGTGGATTCACCACAGCAGCTTGAGTGGTCGTTGTTGTAGCGATGGGCAATGGGATTTCTTTGGGTGCTGTTGTTAAGCTTGGTGGTGCTATGGAGGTATCAGCCGTGCCACCTTCCACGGGACTGGAGACCATAATTGTGCTCTTCGGATGTACTTCGGCGCTGTGCAATAGTATTGTTGGTGCCGGTGTGCTTTTGTTGCTGGCATTGTTGCCACTCAATTTACTGTTGCAATTCTGTACATATTTTTGCTTCTACAACGAGGAATATGGTTTAAGGATTTTCGTTTACTACGAACAAAATTCAAAAATTTCATAACAATTTTCAAAAAGATAACTATAACACATGTGGCGGGGGGCGGCTGATGTGAATAGCAGGAGAGTGAAGAGGTGGGAAGCACAGGAAGGATGTCCATAACTCAAATTCTTTGAGAGGAACTTGTGTGTGAGTGGGTATGTTAGCCCTCGGTAGTGTGCCAAAATCGCCTAATGCGACTACTTTTCTATTCACAGTCAAAGTGTCAACTAAGATTTTTCTTAAACTTAAGACTTGTGCAGATATCATAGATAGGATATTTACATAAAAATGTGCATTTAAAGAAGTTGTGTCGTCTTTTGAATAGAATTAGTTGAAGCGCAATGTCTTGACTGAAAATATGCCCAGCGAGGCCTTATTCGTAATACTTTCAAATTTCTTTACTTTAAATAGTTATACTACTCCCAAAATGATATTAAAAGGATTTGGGTTTATTTTACTWTTTTAACTGCATGCAAACCTCTGTAGCTGCCAATTATGTATAATGAGTGTTAGAAGAAAYCGTTAGTGTGAAGGCTTTGGTTTTAGAAATAACTTTAGTTTTTATAATTTTCTTTCTTTGGCAAAGAAGTGTATGTTTGTATAAATAATTGAAATAAGTAGTTTAAGAGCAGAAAACTCTAGGGTCTAGAGAAGAGCCCAAATAGTTAGAACTTATATACACATTTTGTTATTGACGCGTTCTCTTTTCAAGTGGAGTAGTGGTGCTCAGTGATTACTTACGTCTGTGACCTCGATAACTTCACCCGTACGAAGGTCAAAAACGTCGCCGTAGGTGCGTCCGTTAATACTGCATTTGTTGAATGTCATTATATTTTGTGTTAKTGTGCCAGTTTTATCCGAAAATATATATTGTATTTGCCCCAACTCCTCGTTGAGTGTGGTGGTACGTGCTTTGGCATGAGTTTTCGAGCGTTCATAGTACATTTCCTCATCCCAATTGATGAGAAATGATTGCGCGAAACGTATAACCTGCGCGGAGAGGAAAGGAACATTTTGATAACTATATTTGCACATAAAAGTAATCTTGGCTTACCTCTACTGAAACGTAGAGAGATATTGGCACAACAGTATTTAGGACGATTGCGTAGGAAAAGAAAACCAACAGACCAATAACGGTGGAGCCTTGTGCAACATTTTTTGGTATGATGTTCTCCCATGGTAAGTATACCTGTAATATTAAACAGTAATGCGTCAGTAAATCAAAGCTCGAACTTTTATGGTTACAAACAGCAAAAAATATTAAAATGTGTGAAATATCTGAAAATGAAGCATATTCATTTAAGAAAACAAAATTTACAAAACCTCGGCTTACAAATGCTAATTGAACTTTTAATACATTCCTTGTTAATATGTTAAGCAAGCCCGTTACCTGAAAATGCTGACCAATAAAGCTTTCCCAAATGGCACAGGCCAACGTGAAGAACGCACATATAGAAAGTAGAAAAAGTACTATCTAAAACATGAAAAAAAATATATATTTTTTTTTGAGACATACAATAATAAATTAAAACATTTGCTAAAAAAAAGGATTTCGACGCACCCCGATTATTATAAAATTTAACAGTCTATCAACGCCWGTGCTTTTGAATTGTGTTTTTCCCGAGTTCTGCATTAGTTTTGTGTCCTTGCCCGCAAATATGACAACACCGTAGCACCATTGTGTATTGCGTAGTACACAGCCTCTAAGTAGGATTTTCTCATTGTCGAGCGCGTACCTCTGGTTTCGCCATATGAGTGTGCCCTCGAACTTGTTCAGCAAATTATTTGGCCGCTCGCATATGATTTCACCATTAAAGTTCCACAGAAGATCATGCCGCTGACCCAATTCAGTGATTTCTGGCAAGCATTGCTTACATTTTAAATTCGTCTCGCCATCCAATTCGGCTGTTTCGATGAAACACAAGCCATTCGGTTCGGATGTTGTCAGCAGGAGGATATCGGCTGCGACGAATTGGTTGTTCTCCAGACGTATCACATCGCCAACCTGCCGATGAGTACACTCAAACATATAATTCTTTTTCCGAAACATACATATTATATATTGATAATAATGGTATGTGTTTAAGGGGTTATATACAATTAGAGTTTTTAAAAAATCTTTTTTATTTTATTTTCTTAATGTATATCTATGAATACGCACAGAAATCATGTCGTTCCGGTGAATACTTTCGAAGTTACACCAAATTTTAAAAGACCTTTCAGAGTGCTTGGAACTACAAGGCCAAGCTTTAAACGCGTTTTTCTCAAAATGGTGACCAACATTACTCGAAAATGGCTAAAAACGAGCTTCTTAAAATAATTTTTTAGTAATAATTTTTTTTTTTATAAACAATTTAAGATCTAAATTTTCGATTTTTTTTTTTTTGAGAAACCACCATTTTGCCAAAAAAAATTATTTTCTTTATTCCTTCGATTTGCTTTACTACATTGAACTAGATGTAAGGACGGAGTCAAGTGTACAAGTTCACACAAGTGAGAAAAGTTCTCTGACTGCCATTCATTTGGGAGTGACCAGAAACGATTCTTTTACATATGCCAGTTCACGACTTTCGGTCCTAAACAAAGTATCCTCTGGGTAGACAAAAAACATGCGTTTGAAGGCGATCTGAAGTAAGAAGGCGAAACATCAGCTCCGTTCTCATGTTGGAAATTCGCTTTTTTGGGGCTTCTTACTGTGTATAACCACTTAAAGATACTCAAGAGTTTGTTGAATTGACCTTTAAAACAGCGAAAGCCTATAGAACTGTTGCTATATTGTGTTCTATTGTTCTTTTTCAACTTCTTTGCTGTTTTTTTAATATTATTAAATTCAGAGTCTTACCTGAACTCCCGACCATTTCGCATCGATTAATTGACCGTTCCTCAGTGTTTTCGATCTTCTATTATTCACCTGGGAATCCGACAGATGGCGTTGCTGCAAGGTGCAATTGAAGACGTCRTAAAGTTCAAGGTTCGTGTACAATGAGTTCGCAATGAGAGAATACAAATTTTATAAAATTGTAAATATTTATGAGCTTTAATAACTTATATGTGTGTAYATATGTACATTCTTATATAKTAGCTAAACACATATTTATATATAAAGATTTCGTTTTAGAATCATAAAACTTTCTCTTTTGAATTATGGAAATCGCGTGCCGTTCCGTTACAAATCTTTCATTTCGTTATTCATAATATTTTTGCATGAGATGGGTGAAGCTGGCACAATCGGACAATGCACAAAGGACATTGAGTTAGTTTCTGATGATCTATGTATGTAGAAACAACCTATCTTCTTATTAGAGTATATAGTCCCAGCGATGAAAAAAGGAATTCAAACGGTAAACAACTTAAAGTCCGACTAAGGGCAAACAATTTCCCGAATATGTAATGAAACTAGTTCAATGAAAATACTAAGATAATGGTTTATAATAATGATAATAATTCACATTTTTATTTTTGTTTATTGGCGCACATGCAGCGTTTATATAAGAAATATACTCTGGGTAACAAGTTTATAGTTCACTTATACTGTTAATAACGGTAAATAAAGAGAAAGTATTCATATCTGAATGGTATTAATGTAGTTTTGCTAGTTAGATAAAGGTAATTGCATGAATAATTAAATTCAGAGGTGGACTAAATATATAAGGGTGAGCCTTAAAATGGATACAAATGATTTACATAMGATTTTCCTGAACCTAAATCACTTCTACTGTAGCGCCTAAACCACATCTCTTTATCACAACATTACCTATCGAGGGAAGATGAAAATGCATTTTTTTGATTTTAAGAATTAAACAATTGTTGAAATCTATTTAATTTTTTAAGCAAAGGGAGTAAAAAAAAAAATAATATTTCTAACGCCAACGTTTGGTTTATGTATTATATGGCAATATTGATTTTTAAATTGATCAAAAAAAGGATGTAAGGAGTTATGTTGTTAAACCCATATGCGGTTAATTGGGCGCTATTACTGCCTGCCCGAGTACCGTGCAACTCTATTCAGAGAAATAAAAAATGGGCTTATAATTTAGTGAAGTTAATTACACCAATATAACAATGTTAATATAATCCGGGGATAGGTATGAATATATACGTATACACAGTTCATAACTGTTTCATTACTTACAATGTCATCGTAGGCATCTTTAACGGCTGTCAATGTTAATACGCCAATTAACGGTATGGCGGTGGTAACGGGGGTTAATGACGATATCGCTGGTATGAGCTGCAGCACCAATAAGCACAGGAAATAGAAATTGGCAAGACGTTGAAATTGTTCTAGCAGATTGAATGGCAAAAACGTCAGCAGTGTATATTTAGATGTTTTGATGAAATTGTCCTATAGAAAAGAGAAGAAGAACAAATTTATTAAACAAACTAAACATTTTTTATAAAATAATTCTAATAATAGTTTTTAAGTTTTTATCTCACAATGATTTCAAGCATTTAATTTTGTAATTTGTGGAGCAGTTCATATGAAGGTAGACAATCAAATCTGGAGAAGTGGTGCTTCTAAAGAGAGGAGAGGAAGTTGTGTGGTTAATTGCAACTACATCAAGCAAAARTATTGTACATACATATTTTGGGTTGCAATTTAACTGTCTAATCTCTATCGATATCAATGGTTTAGATACTAAGTTCAAATAGGGACTAMGGGAATACATCATTTTATCAATCATCAATTGGCCAGATAGATCATAGGTCTACGACAWTATATATTTGACTGAAAATGCAACGACTGAATTTGACACACAAAGAAACGATTTCGAAATTTCCGTAAAGTAAAATTGGTTTAAGCTCAAATTTCAAATTACTTTGAGTAAAACGGCTTTAACTCTCTTGCTTAGTCTACGATAACAAGTATTTTTCGATACCACCAAGTTCGCATAGTTCGGATAACTGGTACAATAGTACAAAAGCTAATTGGAAAATTCAACTTTGTTAGCAAGAAAAGAGTTCAAAGAGTTGCGCTTTACCAATGCAAAATATTTTTAAATGAAATCGACTTGTTCCGCAAATATTCACACTAGTTGCACCCTATTTTACGAGGTACATAGTACACATACCGAGACACGAGTATACGGAGTTGTCCATTCATATATACATTTTCCATATTCTATACATTTTCGCGTGAATATTTGCTGTCGTCTGCCGACTGTGACTGCGTACATTTGGAGGAGTGCCCGTGCGTATGTCATTTATATAATATATTGTATATGAATGTATGTATGTCCATTTCAATGCCAAAGCGCCAATCACTCCAAGAAATTACTACGCTTGAGCGTCATCGGCCGCAAAGTTCAATGGGAAATCAGCGTATACTTACACACACATACACGAAGTGGTCGCGGTCAGAATAAATGATTGAATGAACACTTGAGTGTCAATATGCCATTGCAAATATAGTTAAAAAAAGAATGAAATTGTTCGATAAAAGCATGCGGGTCTACTAATTTGCCACTTTTGTGGGCCACTGCGCGMGATTTCATAAAAATGTGATKCCAATTTTGCCGCGTTAATGGCGTGCTCAAGAATAATTAGAGTTGCATTAACTGTTGTATGTTATGCATGTGCGTTAATCTATGTACATAGCTGCTTTGGTTGTAATTTCGGCAAAGCTTTCTTGCTGATCTCTCTTTTATCTATGCTATCTGTGCCATCGGGTTTCAATATTAATCGAAATGTGCCAATATTTACATATATACATATGCACATACACATAAATCTTCCGCAAGGATACACTTCGGGGCAGATAAGCTTCTTAGTGTGGGTTGTGTTTCCATATATATAAAGTGTCAAAATGAAATGGGTATTTGTCAAACGGACAGAATATAAAAATACTTACGGCATATTTGAATTGTGCATTAAATTCTCGGTCATTGGCTCGAATTCTGCGTTCATTCTCTGCAATAAATGGAGAAAAAGTCCATTAGAAATTCCATTTCATGATAACTTATTTTTGTTTTTGTTTTTTCGAAATACCAACTGTGCGTAAAATATAACTAATGACATTTCGGATTCTTTCTTTCAAAGCCACTTGGGAGGCCATCTCGAAAAATAATTTATTAGATTTTGAATATGCCACAGTGATATTGAATAATTCGGCAGTACTTTTTGAAAAGGAAATTTAATACCGAATACCCAACGTCATTGTATTTACTGAAAATAAATAAGATTTCAGAGAAAGAGCCAAGTRTTCCTTTTCGAGAGGGAACCAAGGTGGTGCTATATTTAAAGATATGAATACTAAAACCCCACTTAATACTTCAAAACCACCAGTCTGACTAAGTGCTTGGGTCATGAWAAGTATGAACATGTAATTATATCAATAACTTTAATATAAGTCCATTTACCAGAGAAGTAGTATGAACTGCGCCGACGTCGCATTTTTGACAGTCTTCGAACACCCTTATCGCTATCAGCACCGTTTTCAACCGGCGACATSGAAAACTGCTCAAACSCGGCATTGAGTTTTTGATTTTTATGATCGCTTAGACTYCCAGTCTCATCGTTGACATTCAACGATCCATCATTTGCCRTCGACGCTTTTGTGGCGACGTTCGTACGAGAACGCCGGCCCACACACTCACTTCGCTTCCAACCCGGTAATTTTCCCAAAATAGACAAAAACCGCACCTGGAAACCAGATACTGGTGTTGACATGGCGGCGTCCACTCCTTCCTCCACGGACGTTAGCTCAGAAGTGAGCAGCATATGATCGCGAAGCTCTTCATCTATAAATGCACTAGTCGGGAGTGAAGCGTCGTTTTTCTCATTCAAATGAATGGCTGTCTTCATGTCTGCCTGTGTGTCTGCTTTTTCACTCGATTTTGACCAGGGCTCGCGAGCGATGGTTGTGTTCGCTACAGCGTCGGGTACGTTCGGTTCGGAGTTTTGTTGTTGACATATTTCACCCGACTGGGCGAGCGTCGCTAAGCTATAGAGGCTGTCGGTATGTGTGCGGCTTCGTCGTTTTTTTGAGTTGCGTCTCATGAGAACCGCTGCAACATCGGGTATGGTTTGACTTGTGGGCAGCGCTATACACATTGTAGTAGTTGTGTTGGTGACAGCCGCTGTTTTCGTCTCGACTAATTTTGGTGGAACAGCGTTCGTATGAGCAGTAAGCTCATTGTTGCCGWCGCATTCTGCTTTTGCTGAAGGCGCAGGACGATGTTTGCGACGTAAATGAAACCATTTTCTTTGCTGTTTTTCAACCGGCTGCGATGGGGAATATGGTGTTTGTTGAAACGTACTGGACGGCTTTTCGACGCTGGCGGAAACGTATTGAGACTTGACTGTATGGAAGTATTGTGATTTTGGTGCCTGATCTTTCTGTTCTGTTTGCAGCTGGTAATTATGGTGGTGTGCTCTTGGTAGAACACGGGCTGTGACACCGCAATCCTCATTGTCGGAAGACTCCGTTTGGCACACACCAAGCACCTCTAATGCCAGCGTATCCGGCCGCTTACGATTTCCGCTTGGCATTTCACTCTACCCTTCACTTCCATGCATTCATATACATACCACGCATAAGTACAGTAAAATGTGCGAATATGTGACGTAATTGAGCGGGATGTAAATGCTATTAATTGTCTGTCGTGATAAACGCTCGGCAACGCAGAGTAGTTGATAATTAAGATTGCATGCGTCGATATACTGTCAATTCCATGTCTACTTTAACGACACTTTTGCTTTTTCACTTAACTAACGCTATTTACACTTCCATTTTAATTGTCTGTGTACTCAAAAGGAGCTCAATAAATTTTCACAAGAGCAACAACAACATGCACTAATCTGTATTTCGAATTTTTTTATAAACAGTTTTTCTCCAAAAAGCTGGCACCTGCCTCGCGGATATATTTTTACAAACTGGCGACAAATTTATTTTAACTGACCTCGATTGCATATACATACATACATATGTATAWACATGTAGTTACATGTAAGTGTGCTTACTGTGTTATTGTATGGTAAAATTTTAATATTGTTCGATTGTGCGAGTGTCTATAAACTTGCTCATTTGGCTATTACAATGAAAACGTATCTTTGGGGCATTGCAATTTTGTGGAATTCCGGCCCATTTGATTTTGAACTTGATGCGGTTACGTTGCGTGTACGATGTATGTATGCATGTACGTATATAAATAAATGTATTTGTACTGARCTGAGTGCTTTGAGTACGAATCTATCATTCGGTGAGCAGTGCTGTCAGTATGTGTTTGAATAATGCAAGGAGAGCGAATCCCCTGCGAAGGGTATACGGCCACAAATATCATTACTTTTATTATTATTACTATTATTTACAAGCAAATTTAGATACAGTTAGAAATATTTTCTACGATCAAAGTCACATGAGATTCGAAAATAAAGATAATTCCAAGAAAATTATGTGTTCTACGGTAATTATTATTTACCAACTTTATTGTTTTGCAAACGTCCCTCGAAGTTTCAGTTTGTTCCCTAAAGAAGGCATCSATGTAAAAGTTGCATGTGCCTTATAAATTCTTTGTTGTAAAAGCGAGATGGTAGCTTATTCTAGTAGTAGGTACTTATGCTTATATATTAAAAAAAATTTCGGTCGGCGTCTGCAAAAAAAAAAAAAAATTAGCTTGGAAAATAATTGTCACCTTAACAATGGGCATGTGCATCTACAAAGTTAATCGAGATATAAGAAAATCGAATACAGGGGCTTGGTTGCAACGTTGCAGTCGAGCATACATATGCATGTGAGTATGTGTAAATGGAACAAGGTACTAAATATGCGTTCGTAAAATTAATTGAAAAATGAATTTTTCCATAACATCCTTTTTTGATTAYAAAATTAAATTGCAATAAAAGTAAAATTTTAGCCCAGCCGTRAATTAATTAGAGCGTGTTTTGAAGAAATGTATGCCTTATTAATGGTCAACTCTTTCATAGTGTTAATGACCTTTACTCAACTTTCAAGAGACTGCTGAAACCGAGTGAATTAAGTAAACATCTACTACTCAGAGAAATGTGGGCTTATTCATAGATCAGAGCGAATGTATTGTTACTTTTTGTATGTCACAGGCATAAGATGTCACAGCTTCTACAAGAAAATATAAAATATTTTCCATACACAAAAGCATAAAAAATCYAACTTTCTTTCTTACCACTCAGTCAACACCCTTACAAAGTTGAACTTTCTTCAGCATAAACTACTCCAACAAACATACAATATTATTTATTGTTAGCTCATTTGATTACTTATGTTCCCGCTAAACCATGTTCATTTGGCTAATTGCCAACAAAATTGCAAGTCTAAAACATGCCGATCTGTTGAACAGGGCGTATGAGTAATCAACACTTATTGCCCATTTTTCAGGTATGTGGATATGTATGTATGATTGTGTGCATGAATATGAACAATATACAAAAAGAGTAAAAGTTCAAACATTCAGTAGCAACTGGCCATATTGTGATCTCTAAATTTTATGTGTTTTTATCATTAAATGTTATTTTCTTTGCTTTTTGCAATTTTCCGTGATTTTAAAGCGTAGTGCAGTTCAAAGTGTTAACAACAGYTCGCATATTTATATTATATTTCACTTGTAAACAAATAAGTATACGTGGGTTGCTGTAACTTTTTCAATTACATTCCAATTTATTTCAACWCTAATTTGGCGGATGGGAAATAAATGCGCGTCGATTAAATTTTGTTCGTCTTCAACAAAAAGGTCTATTGACAATGATCAAGTCCGCCTTAATCGTACGAAATATTATATACTGGAGTACTTATATTCCGAACTTTCACATAACACCAGAAGATGCATTCGAAATTAAATTTTTTTTTTTACTTTAAAATGGAAATGTAAGCAGTGACCCTCGTACGTTTGTAGAAAACGTTCAGTGCAGTGCAAATGTTACCTCTAATACCATCGCAGATGAAGAAAAACTTTTTAAGGAAAAAAATCTGATATATGAACATTCACACATGTATGTACATATATATCCATGCCTCATGCCTTTTCAGTTTGGCGGTATTTGAGTGGGATATTTTGATTCTGTTAAAATAACTGAAACAAAAGCTAGAAAGTAAGGTCAATGTAATTTGTAAACATTTTTTGCAACAGGATTCTTTGAATAATTGCTCCAAATAAACATATAGTATTTTTGTATATTTATGTAAGTACGTATACATATAAGAATGTATATGTAATTAATAAGATTTTCGACTTCGCGCAGAACAATTCCAATAAATGACAAGAAAGCGCAACTAAGCGGAATTTTGAAGGTTCGAGCAACAAAAGATGCATGTCTTCCAAATCCAAAAATCGAAAAATAAAGACTTCTCCTCCGAAAACTATTACTGAGTAAAACTACATTTAACACGTCGACCCACCCATGGGTCAAGCTGGCTTTGATTCAGATCGATTTTTTGTTAAATGAAATATAACTATGTATTTCGAATCAAAACAAATTTTTAAATATATTTATTAATATTTGTGATTTTGTCACTGAACCACACTGAACCACAACGTGTAATCAAAATTTATGTATTCTAGCCAAAAGGGCATAACAATGACAGAAGCGATTGCCTGCAAGCTGAACTAGAATAGTCTCCCAGCTGACATATACTASGAGTATATTTTTGTGTATATGTTTATATATACATGTAATTTAATATATATATATATATGTACATAAGCCTTTAATAGGAATAGTTTATCTCCTTTATGGTACCGCTATATTTTCTATATATATGTTAGACAATTAGCAAACCACTTTACTCTTGAATAGAAGCAAGTCTTCATGACTGACTGTTCGATGATGGCACTCTGTGCAAATATTCAAAGAGAGGCTCATCACGTTTTCTCTACCGGGTGTATGGAAATGTGTATGTGTGTGCATATATGCGAATGCCATTCATGGATTCGCAGTTTTATGCGATTTCATACTGGAGAAAAATAAAAAAGTTGCACAAGTGCGATTACGCGCAAATGTAAACCTAATTGTAGGCAAGAAAACTGTCGCCACGCCACATATTTAATACAATRTTGAAGTATAGAGACATACTAAATAATATATGAACATTTGTATATAAACTACASCATGTTTCTGCGGTAGCTTATACGTATGCGTGTACATATGTGTATCCATGAAGTGAAGAAGTTCAGTTCAGTTAAGATTTATTGCATTTTTGTCCGTATGTAAGTATTTGTGGCACTAGAAATCATACGCTCGCGGCCTTTCCTTGGCGTTACTACTAGGCAATGCTTGTTAATATGTTTAAAGGGTGGACAACACGAATACTGTCTGGCAAATCTATTATGTCGGATAGGGTAAAAGCATGAGTCATGTTTTTCTCTATGTCACTAAGAAGCTACGTTGTTGTGATATTTAACGTGTTTAATTAACTAGAAGAACAACCTCCGTCACATATGTACWTRTGTATGTATGAAGTGCCGCGCACTTCGTGTTTAGAATTATTGACACACGCACAACACTCAGTCCTTTAATAAAAATCGATGAAAATTCAATAAAAACGCAAACTATGCGTGCACACACAAATATACATGTATACCGTAGGTATGTGTATGTACGAACACATAAGACAACCCGCAAGYCATAAATAATTGCAAAAGAAATGCTTTCCATTTATTTTTACATATGTCACTTGTGCATTGCAAACACTTCACAGCGGGTTTGAGCGCACTCAGTTGTGATGACGTCCGTTTGAAGGGCGGACCGCTGAGGGTTGGCCGGCAGAGAGCCATGGTAATGACAGCGTACACTTAAGCACGTAAAAACATACATTTATATGTGCTTAATATATTTTTGCATCGTACATATTACATATTAATTTGCATAGGTGTGCTGTGCTGATTTGACAGTTGTAAGCGGAACACTCGGCCAAGATCAGCCGCAAACGCTAGCGCTGGTGTCGACCACTRCCAGCCAACAGCTCTCAAGCTGGCCCATCCGAGCAGCCAAGAGGCAGCCCACAAGATGCAGACTGCTGACGTAGTCGTTGTTGTATTTTTAGTAGCACATTGTAATGCAGCGAACGWWTGTCGCCCATTTGTAATTGTGGTGATTAAGTTTTCTGTGAATTCTATTTTATTCCGCTGCTATTTTACAAAAACATTACTGTATTGAACACTAAAACTGATTTYTTCACTTCAGCACAACAATTACATGTAACTACTTCCGTCCTCTAAGCCCCAATAAGTTCACTTTGTAATAACCGTTACTAAAAACTATAAAAAAAACATTACACATTCTCTGAACGCCGTACTTGGCCAATACATGCTTGTATGTATGCTTTATGCACAAGTGCTGCACTTCATTACTTTAAAGTCCCAGTCAACGCATTTCGCAACGCAAAAAAAAAACACATTTAATTTCAAGTAGGTTATTTGTGTTAAAATGGTATTTTCCGTTGTTTTTATTTTTTTTTTTGCGAATCGCCAAACGGATCTACTGTTACTTTTCGACCAGCAAACGCCACAAACGAGAACAAAATCGAGACTAAAATGAAAAGTTGGAAAAGCTCCTCGACTCAATATGATTTCACTCACGTGGCGGCGACTCAATGTGTTTAGGCGCAGAAGCTTGAAAGCGCAGAGAAATGGAAATGTAAACAATAAGGAAAACACTCGTTTCGATTGCACATATTCTTTCGCCTTCTCCTTCATTACCCCGTTGGCGTCAGCAATGCTGGCGGCGGCGCTATTTGTGGCAAGTGGGGAAAGAAGTAGTAGTTGCTGGTCACGTTATGCTCCCTTCGTGAATGGCGGTGACCACGGGAACTATCTGGCTGAATTCATTGCGGTATCGAAACTGTGCCAGTGGTGCCAGTGTCAACAGCTGGCCGCAGAACTCCGATTAACAATGCCTCCTCCATTCATACCATAATAGTATATGGTATGTTTGCAAAAACATATCGAGTGAAACTGTGGCGAACTGTGAACTTTGAATGGGAAATCCCAAAGACCACAGACAGATTAATCACACAATGTTAAATTCACGAAAATTAGATTCGATCGTGTATCTGGATCAACATCAGTGGTTTTGCCCACGAAGAAGAATAAACGCATAGGATCTGCGTAGGATCTAAATTGACGCGGCGGGAGTAAAGTCTAGATCAGGATAAGTGAATTGAAACAGAGAAAATAATAGGAAAAAGATAAATAAGGTTATAAGGACCTCTTTCAATACACACATATATGTATAGTAACTTTCTTCTTCCGCTCAACGTCGGTATTATGAGTAAATAATTTACTAGCTTTTAACTTTCTTCTACAATTATTTAATAGTATATATCTACCGGTATACCTAGATAYATATGTATGTATAAGCCCATATTTTATATATTTACAAATACRTAAATAGTACATACCTACCTACCTTCATATGTATGTCCGTATAAATTGTAAATGCAAATCATCTAAACGCTTTATACCCACTTTTAYTGTTTGTCGTATTTTGTGCCGACATTCGCAGGGGGTATCGTGATTTTGCGCAMTGAAGTGAAACGTCAGCCCAGCTGATATCGTGTGATTGTAAAGAAATCTAAACAAAAACAACAATAGGTGATGTACAAACGGAATAGTGAACGAGAAAGAGCAAATACCTTTGAGCGGTAAAACGATATGAGCGCGGCAAGAGAAACGATTGAGTCGAAATTTATTTACTTTAGGTATTTTCTGTTAACATATTTGAAGTCTGTGAAAAAAACTTTTATTTACGCGAAAATATGTAATTAAAGATGTAGGTAACAAAGGCTTGTACGAAATACAGCGAAGTGAGTATGGTGTGTGGCCCGTATACGACTCATCCAAGTAAACAACATAACTAAAATGAAACTGTTTTATAGAAGCGACTTAACCGCGATGTCCAAGCACAAGAAAACACATCATGTAACTAGTTATAATTATCAACTAGTATAGACCCCATTTGGTCGCTCAAATGGCTTTTTCCTCAAATCTTATTTTTCTACTATTATATTAGTTCAGAAAAAAACAAAAAGAAAAAAAAAATTGTTATTAAAAATTTAAAAAAAAAAATTATTTATTTTCAAATATAATTTTATGATTTTCCAATTGCTGCATGACACAAAGTAAACATAGGGCAGGCTTTGTCAATACTGTAATGATTATTCAAGCGGTTAAAAAGCAATTGTTTCGCAAGCGGGGAAAATACATTTGGACAAAGTGAAATCGCATGCATGCAAATACAATCTAATATTTGTATATATTGTACTTATGTATGTAGTATTGGCTGATAATATAATCACAGGGCGTAAAAGTGCAATAGAAATTTTGAACACCTTACAAAAGTTTAATTTTATTTCAAATCCACACTATGTATTTGTATTGAAATTGTATATATTAAGATCAATACAGTGCAAGTACGTACATATAWATATACATATGTATATGTACATATCTATTTGATGTTAGGGAATGTAGCTATGAAACAATAAAGCATTTCGTATAGATTGAGAAATAATGTATGTACATACATATGTATGATGTGTGCACATATACAGTTGGAAAATATCTCCCTTCCRCTTTTTTTCTCTTTATTCAATGATTTATAAAAAGTGTTACAGTGATCGGATTTAGTTCAAATATGCGCCGTTTCGTTCSATGATCTGTTTCCATCAAAACGGCAACTTCATAATACCCCCCTCGTATAAGCCCCCTCCTTATTTGCGAAGAACTCGGACAGCTACTTTYCACTTCGTGAGTCATTTTTCTAGTCTAGTGACAAAGCCGCAACGATTCAAAGTCGATCGTCAATACTTGTATAAGTACTCACAATAAATATTATGTTGATTAATAACAACCGGAAAATTATTAATAAATACCCTGCAGGAACAATGAATCGCTGCGCTTATAAGTAGTTTGGCTTTTACAGATGAATGCAGCTAAGGGCGCCGYAGTAATAAAATTGGCTATTTTGATTTTTATTTTTATTTTTATTTCGTCCATGTAGAAGAATACCTCGCAACTACTTCTACAACAACAACTACATCTACAATGAAATTGAATTTTCTTTAAGAAAAAAAAGTGATTATTTACACGTGTATCGTGTATTGATCTACACGGTGTATAGTATTTCTCGGACTGGCTGAGTACCCTTGACCTATTGCACTATGCCGTTGCCCCTCACAATCATACATATTTTCTATTTGTCATAAATAAGTCTTTTGTCGTTCAAATTAATGAACTCACTTACTTTCTTTATTTCACTAAAATTCGCAGAAAAAAGCATTTGATTCAGTTGCCCTTATGTGCGTACAAAATTCAGTATACACATACATATGTATGTAAGTAGATATGTATGATAAGATTTGTGCATTGTGSACTTAAATCGCTCACAATTAAACAGAAACATACCTAATAGTGAAAGAGTTTATGAGCATGTGTGTTTAAGTACATACATATATACTTATGTATGTGTTGATGTCCATTAAACAGTATGATAGAAAGTTCATTACCTTTATTTTTATTTACAAAAATATTTAATTGYTCGGAACTGGGTGTACTAAGTGTGCAATAAAATTTGTAAATCCCAGAATGAAACGTCGGAGATCCTGTAAATCTGAATCTGTATGATCAGAGTGTCGAGTCGATTTAACCATATTCGTCTGTCTATATAGCTGTATATATACGCCAACTAGTTGYTCAGTTATTAAGATATCGATTTGAAATTTTGCACCGGCATCAATTAGCCTGTAATAGGCCATGAGCTCCAGAGGAATACACGCTAATATTCTAATCGGACGGTTAAGACGGCTTTAAAAGTACACAATTGATATTAGAAATAAAAGTCGCATATATTGAGGAGATAATCTACTTTGACTTTGTTATCATCTGATAAAATTTAACATTGACTTTTTGTTATTGGGTGAAGTTTGATCTCCATAAGTCAATTAGTGTTTTTGGTATCTGGCGAGTTTTCAAAGCAGTGACTGCGACGGAATCGTTGGAAATGTTGCAGAAGTGYTTTTGAGACTATTTATTTTCACGAGGACATGCATTTGAGTGCCACGGARTCTTCATTGAAGTCTGCGAAGTTATGGTACTCGTCTATAGTATTGGTATCAATGGCGTAGAGCCTCATTATATTTTTGGGTAAGAARCATGTAAATGCGAGACTTCTGTAAAAATACATAAATCTTTTTCAAAAACAAAGAGTATGGGTCATAAAAAAAAGGACGCAATATTCATCAAATGCATAATTTTTGGTGACGAGAGATGAGTTTAAGAATATGACGAAACAGTCCAACAATCTAGAGAATTGTGTTCCAAGAATTAGACATAAGAGGTGTATGAATAATTTGACTAGAAGTTTGTTTTGACTCAGGAGGCTACCTCAGTAGTAAGTGCGAGTTTTACAATTTATCGAACACAGAATTTGTTTTAAAAATTTGTATTTCTAACCAAATTTAGTACTTTGTAGGGGTCAAATTTGAACAATGGGAGTGGCACCCTCCACATTTCTCTGAAAATACAAATTTATATTTATAGATTTTCGAACTTTCGAATGCATTCATACCGCATATAATATGACAAATATGTGAGTTATTGTAATAAAATTGAGAGAACGTAAAATGRATAAAATCGGGTGAAAATTGCCTCATATAACTAACAAAACTTATGCACGTGATGGTATCGCCTATACTGAAGAATGTTCGATCACACCCAAACTTAACCCTTCCTTCGTTCTTGACATTACTTTTGCCTCTTTATACTAAAACTAATTCTTCTTCATTTGAACATCTCTGAATTCAAATTTGAAAGTTTGTCAGTGATACTGAAAGCCTCTTATTATACTGATTCAAAGATAATTGTAGTTGCAAGAAAGTGTGATTATGGCTTCGCAATCACATAAGCTTCAATGGCCCTCATATACTTCCTGTAACTCTTGCGTGAAGTCCAGATATGATTACTAATTGGGGCTAATTACCAACAACTGTTTGTTTTCATGTGTACAACAATATGTGAATACAAGTACATATACATATACCCTCATCCACTTACATACATATTGAATTTGGTGATGATGTCTTCACTTCGATTCTGATATTTTCAAACAGGACACGATATTTACTACCACTACTRGTAGACTGTCACTTATAAGAAAGCATGAAGTGCAACACTTTTCTGTCAGGTTGTGATACATATGTACATTCATCCACCTATCTAACACAAAAGGTAATCAAAATGAGACTGTTTATACACCCTGCAATAAAGTCAACAAGACCGGGGTGAATTTATGACTAGTTACRAAGAAACATGCAACTGATTGAACTTTAGATATTTTTACTTTTCCGAAAGGTTCTTTTTGCAGCCTCAGCTTTGTAAATCGTTTTGAGCTAGTTATCTTACACGCYACTAAAATAGTTTTAAACAAGTAAGGAAGGGCTAAGTTCGGGTGTCACTAAACATTTTATACTCTCGCATGATAAAGTGATAATCGAGATTTCAGGCGTAGTTGT